ATTTGCAGAATATTTTAACCAACAACAGCCAAGTACACATTCTCATAGAAAATCAATGAATATTCACCAAAAGAGACCACACTCTGAGCCATAAAATGCATCTTAACAAATGTAAAAGACTAGTTAACATATAAATTATGCCCAAAAAACATATTAAAATTAAACTAGAAAGCAATAACAGAAACAGTTGTAAAGCCCTCAAATAATTGTAGACAAAACAACAAAGTTCTAAATAACACAAAAGTCAAAGAAAAATCTCTAGAGTAATTTAAATATTTTGAAAGAAATAAAATAAAACTATATCATATGAAAATTTGTGGAATACAGCACAAGCAGTGCATAGGGGGAAATTTAGTGCACTGAATGCATATGCTCGAAAGGATGAAAGATCTAAAATCTGTAACCTAACCTCCCACATTAGGAAACTAGAGAAAGAAAGTAAATCTAAATCAAGCACAGAAAATAACAATGAGAGAAGACATCAATGAAAATGCAAACAGGAAATCAATGGAGAAAATCAACATACAAAATGCTGGGTTTTCATAAACATTGATAAAATTAATAAGCCTATAGTGAGGCTAGAAAAATAGAAAAAGTATAGAAATGACTTATTAGAAATAAAAGAGGGGCCATCACTACTAATCTCATGGACATCAAAAGGCCAGTTTCATAACCAGAAAGTTGATAACTTAGTTGAAAAAAACCAGTTCTTTGAAAGATGCAATCTCCCAAAAGTCACACATGGAGAGATAAACAATATGACTAGGTCTATATGTATTAAAGAAATCGAATCAATAACTAATAATTGCTTACATAAGAAAAAGAGGTCCAGATGGTCTCACTGGTGAATTGTGCCAAATAGTGAAAAAAGAAAACAGAAAAACTGACACCAATAAGCCACAATCTCTTCCAAAAAATGGAAGTAGGGTAAATACTTTCTAAATTCACTCTATAAGGTCAACATTACCCTACTACCAAACTACATGGATACATTACAAAAAAAGAAAATTATAGACAAAGAAGTCTCATGGTCATAGATGCAAAGATTCTCAACAGATACAAGCAAAGTGAATCTAAAAATGTATTAAAAATTATACACCACAACCCACATGGGAATTATCACAGGTGGAAAAGGCTGATTCAAAATCCAAAAGTCAAGTAATATAAACCATCACATCAGAAAACTAAACAACAAAGATTATTATATTAATAGTTGTAGAAAAACCATAGGCAAAAAAAGGGAAAATATATTGAAATTAAGGAAAAAGAAATTAAACTGTCTTTGCTTTTAGATGATATGATTGTCTATGTAGACGATTCCAAATAATGAAGAAAGAACTGCTGGAATTAGTAAAAGATGATAAAAAGGTTGTAGAATATGAGGTTAATATACAAAAGTCAACCATTTTCTGTACATTGATAAAGAACAATTGGATTTGAAATTACAAACAACACCATTTTTATAGCACAAGAAAATAGACAAAATATATATATATACACATATATATATGACAAAGATCTTCATGACAAAAACTACAAGTTTCTAATGAAAAAATCAAAGATTTAAATAAATGGAGAGATGTTCCATGTCATGGAAAAGAAACCTCAATATTGTTAAGATGTTGGTTTGCCCCAATTTGAATTATATATTCAAAACAATCCCAATAAAACTCTTTATAAGTTATGTAGTCAATAATGAAAAATTGACCCTGAAAATTATATGGAAAAGCAAATGATCCAGAATGGTTAACAGAACAAGGAAGAGTAAATTTCCAGTACTCACACTACATGACTTTAAGATTCATTATAAAATTATAGTAATCAAGACAGTGTGGTATTTGGGAAAGAATAGACAAATAGGTCAATAGAACAGAATAGAAAATTCAGAAATAAACCCACAAAATACAGTCAACTGATCTCTGACAAAGGAGTAAAGGAAATTTAATGAAAACTGGTTTTTTCCAACAAATATGGCTTGACAACTACACGTCTATACGCAAAGAAATAAATGAGACAAAGACCTTGCCATTTTCACAGAGTTAATTCAAAATGAATCAAAAACTTAAACGTGAAATGCAAAATTTGAAACTTCCAGAAGATAAGACAACAGAAACTCTAGGACACCTTGGGTTTGACAATAAGTTTTCAGATGCAACACCAGAAGCATGATTCTTGAATGACAAAATTGATGAATTGGACTTTAATCTTGTTTTGCAAAAGATAATGTTAAGACAATGAAAAGACAAGCTGCTGAATGAAATGAAATAATTGCAAAAACATAGTTAATAAAGAACTGTTAGTGAAAATATATAAAGAAGTCTGAACAACCCAGATGCCAGTCACAAGCCCTGTGGGACCATCTACACTTCTGAGCTACTGCCTATAAATTGGCCAGTTTATAGGCAGTTAAAAATCTAAGGGAAACTTTAAGACATACTCAGATACTTTGCTGAATTGCAGCAGGAGAAAATGTCTTATCAGCAGACCTATCTTTACGTCACTTGCTTTCAGAATAAGAGGCTATTTCAGGCACAGCAGTTTTAGTCTGTGTTAAAAATCATAAGCGGCCTAAAAATACCCAAAAATGATGAAAAGAATTTGCAGATATACGGAATACATTATATGTTTTCAAAGTCTCCTGTGATGAAAAATAAATAATGTGTTGTTTGGCTTTGATTTCCTGAACTCATTCCTCAGCTATTTTCCAAAATATTCCATATCCTTCCGACATGCTTCTGCAGTTCCTTGAGGGGTTATGCCAATGATAAACAGTACCATATGGGCACAAATATCAAAGAATTCTGCTTCGACAGCAGAAGTATAACTCTCTAGAACCTTGTTGCATGAGTAGTATGGTCTATGGAGGTACACAGGCTTTGGAGTTACAGTTGATTGTGTATCCCAACCCAGCTGCTTAGTAGCTGTGGGGTTTTGGAAGTTTCTTGACTAGGAACACTTATATAAACCTCATCTGCAAGAAAAGGCATAATGATACTGATTGCAAAAATTCTTCATTCCTCCCTGTATACACGTACTTTGCAAAGTGCTTTTATAGCTGCTCCCTTCGAAAGGCAAAATCTGTATTTCAAAATGTTTAGAGTCTTACTTGCTCTGGTCAACAGAAAACTGAACATATAACAGTGTGCTAGTTTGGGACCTAGGCGCAAAACTTGAGTGCTTTTGTTTTTCTTTCAGAATCCTGTTATCTCTGTGATAATAAGCATATGTTAACTTGCTGGGAGATGAGATACCACATGGAGAAGAAGAAGGTGCCCCAGTTGACAGGCAACTCACCCCTAGAAACAGCTGCAATCAGCATCTGACCACACATGTCTGAAGGATCCCAGCTGAGACCAAAAGAATTGCCCAGCTGAGTTTAGCTTAAATTGCTGACCAGCTGAATCATGAGCTAGTAAGTTTCAGGTGGTTTTTATGCATCACTAACTAACTAATACACACGCCCATTACAGACAGGTTGTCAGAATTCAATGAGAGATTGATTACTAGTTACCTGCAAACAGTAGACACCCTATAGGTATTGATTTTCTTTTCCCTTTATTTAAATTTGGATCTCTTGTTAGACGGTGGTGAGATATGTAAAGATACAGGTAGACATGTGTACATGTGATTGGTGCATAAATTCACCCAGTCTCCCACACCATAGGGGGAAAAAGACAACCAATAGCCTGTTCATTAGGGCCAAGGCCAAATACCAATATCAGAAGTTTGTTTAATCTATTTTCTCTATATCTAAACTTTGGAAGGCAAAGCTGTGGAAGACCTGAAGACTTGAGGTTAGGTCCTCCTGGGGGCTCCATTGTTCTTTTTTTCACTGTCTGATTTTTGGAAGGAAGATGGACAGCAGGCGGGGCAGCAGTGGTCCACCTGCGGACACTCTTTTTGCAGCCCTTGCTGTTTCTAGGGCCTTGTCCCTTCAGCCTTTGGCCTGGGGAGAGATGATAAGGAGGCACCGATCTTTCACTTCTGGAAGGAAATGAGGGTTCAGACCCTTCACTTCCCTCAGGGCTGCAGGTCAGTGTGACAGCCACTGGCCCTGTGTGCGTACTGAGGGCCTGAAATGTGGCTGAACTGACACGTGCTGGGAAGGTGAAATACAGAGTGAGTTTCACAGATTGACTACCGAAAATTATATAGTTCATTAATATATTGATCATACATTTAAATGATAATATTTTGAATATATTGGGTTAAATAAATTATTACAATCAGTTTCACCTGTTACTTCTAATGTTTAAAAGGTGGTTATTAGGAAATTTAAAATTCACACGTGGCTTACATTTCATTTCCTTTTTTTTTTTTTTTTTTTTTTAGACGGAGTCTCGCTCTGTCGCCCAGGCTGGAGTGCAGTGGCCGGATCTCAGCTCACTGCAAGCTCCGCCTCCCGGGTTCCCGCCATTCTCCTGCCTCAGCCTCCCGAGTAGCTGGGAGTTTACAGGCGCCGCCACCTCGCCCGGCTAATTTTTTGTGTTTTTAGTAGAGACGGGGTTTCGCCGTGTTAGCCAGGATGGTCTCGATCTCCTGACCTTGTGATCCGCCCGTCTCGGCCTCCCAAAGTGCTGGGATTACAGGCTTGAGCCACCGCGCCCGGCCGCTTACATTTCATTTCTTAAAGGATTGCCTCCTTTTTGAAATTTCAGGCTGCCTGATCAAACTACCAGAGGCCAGAAAGGTCATAAAATCTGAAACGTTAAAATCATTGCCATTATATTGTTTTCATTTGTGAATAACATATATATTATTTATAAATGGATATAACCTTATACAAAATACCCCTGGGCTGGGCCACAAGCAGGAAGCCCCGCATGAAAAGCCTGCAGCCAAGAACCCGTCACTTCGTCGCCTTCAGCCCAGCGTCCGATCACGTCCTCCGTCACTCAGCGACTGAGGGGCGGGGCCTGGAGCCCTACCCAATCAGGGGCGCTGACGCAGGAACCGTCCAATCAGGCGCGCAGCCGGACAGAAGGGCGCGGCTTCCGGGATCTGGCGGGGCCTTCGTCTCTCTCTTTGCAGCACTACTGGGTCTTCTGTGCTCGGCGTGCTCGGCGCTGGGAAGCCCGGGTGGCCGCCACAGCCTCTTGCCCTTTGACCTGCAAGTATCAGGAGATCCATAGCCAAGAAGCCTGGACACCCGGGAAGCTGGGAAATGGTGAGTATGTGGGCGAGGTCCCGAGGTGGGCAGGGGGCTGATGGAAACGGGCTGGAACTGGCTGTGGCGGCCCCAGGCCTCCCCACAGCTCCCTCCGGAGTCTGCAGACTCGAGACCCCGCTGGACCCGGCCCCAGCTTCCCCTGGCCTCAGGATGTGGGCTTCCGCCAGCCTCACCCGGCGTCCGGTCCGCATCTGTGCTCGACTTCCGCCCGGCCCGGGCCCTGGCTGGCAGCTGTGCGGTGGCGGCGGCAGGGGCCTGGGGAGCGCCCGGACCCAGGAGGAGCCACTGCGTGGGAGGAGCTGTGGGGCCTGGGGTTCCAGGCCTCCCTTCTCCTGGTAAAAATGAAAAGGGAGTCAAGGTTTTAACGTTAAAGAGATTATTTGAGCAAAGAGCTGTTCATCAGTGCAGAGCGCCCAGTCATGGTTTGTGGGTGCTTGGAGCAAAGGCTTTTGTAAGGGGCATGAGGAAGCGAACCAAATTCAGAAATTACAGTGACAGTTGTGGAGTCGCCTCATTTGGACTGTCCAGGTGGAAATTTCCTGATTATGTAATGAGAGGTTAATTGGAGGTCTGCGGTTGGTTCAACCTGAATATCGTTTCCCCCTAAGGTAGTAATTTACAAGACATGTATTTGAGCTGGATTTTTTTCCTTAGGAACCAATGGTACTAGTGCTACTTCAGTCTAACTGACTGCTAGTTAATTATTTTAAACACTCCAGAGGGGGACTGGTTTTCCACTGCGTTTCCAAATGTGTGACAAGCAGGGTCTCACATCCACCATCCTGTCCCCCCAGCCTATTTGTCCCTTATTGTACATTTCACACACAGTATTTTAATCATTTTTTCACAAAGCATTGGATGGCACTTTTTTAGACATCTGTTTTCTGTTTGTAAACGTTTTATGTGAGCAGAGAAGAATCCCCTGACACACTGCTTTAAAAAAATCTTTGCGTCTCTTCTTTTATCTTCCTCAGGCACAGACACCTTATCGGAATGTCTTTGGTTTGAGGTTCTGCTTTGGAAATTGTACAAGGTCATGTGTCCTGAGCCACCCTCCTGTCTTTTTCTGTGCCTAGGTTTCATAATTGTCTGCGGGTGACCCAGGACTGTCTCAAGGCGTGTTTAGTGACCATTAGCACCTTGTTCCTTTCCTCCCAGAGGACAGCCTCAGTGATGGAGGTGGAGCCTCTTAAGGGAGCAGATGGATGCCCTGGGGCTGAGAGGAAGCTGGTTCTACCCATCAGTTACAAAGCTAACCCCTTAGGATATGCAGATTGTCTTCACCCAACTCCAGCTTCTGTTCCTTGGAGACACATTGCTGGTCAGCCAGTTGGATGCTGATATTGAGAAGATAAGACAGAAATGATTTCTGACATCTGGGTTCTCTCAGACTTGTGAAGGGGAAAAAACTGTTCCAAAGGACAAGGAAAACCCACTCCAGTGAGGGGGTGCAAGAATCTGCAGAGTCAAACCACTTGGGGCACAGTGTGGTGGCTCCTGGGCAAGGGGGGAAGGTGGTCAGTGAGCAGTTCAGGGAGCAGTATGGAAACAGAGGAATGTCCCAAGTGATAGGATGGCCTGACTTGGCGCTTGAGTCAGATTTGTCAGCATTGCCACTTCCTGGGTTTTACACCTTGACAAATTTTTTTCACTTATTTCAAGCTTAGTTTTTTTATTAACTGTCAATTGCATTTTAGCAGTAGAGCTTCAAAGGTAAGAAAATGTTTAAGAGGTGGATTTCAGAAAAGACATTAAATATATAGTCAAATATTCACTTGTTAAAAATTCTGATTTACCTTTTTCTTCACTAGAGTGAGTGTAGTGAGTTTGTCAGGCCTGTCCTTTTTTAGGGGGTGATTTTAAACAGAATCCCAGGACTTACCTGTGGGAATGCTACCAGGGAAAGTAATAGGGAAAATCCTCTTCCAGTATGGCTATAGGAAATGAATACATTTCCACAAAAAAATAGTAGATTAATTTGTGAATTACATTGATTCGTCAAAATATGAGTTCCTCTTTTTTGCAGGGTGGAGGACTTGTGGAGTTGGTATCTCTGTTATCTAGATGTCTGAGTTTAATACTGAATTTTAGAAGATAGGACTTGGCATCTCCTAGATATGCTCATATGTGATTGTTTACTGAATAATTTGAATTATTGAAATAATGTGACATGTTTATTGTCTGAAACTGATAGTTTTGCTTTTTCTATTGAGGTATACAATGTAAGTGCCTTTTAATTTTATTCTCTTAAATAAACATTCTGTTTGAGTGATTTTGCTGGATCCTTCAAACACTGGGCATTTTCTCATTTACAACTAAGTAACCCGGACTGGGAAATAGAAGTCGGAGCCTAGTGACTCTAAGCTAAGGCCAATCTTGAGCCTGCAAAAGGAGGTCATTGAAGGCCCAGTTAGTTCTTCCTGGGGAGCCTCCCCTGCAGGTGTCCCAGCCTGCACACCCCAGCATGAAAGGAGCACTTCATACCGACAGGAGCTGTATAGCCCTGGAGAGCTGGGATCCACAGGCGGATGCTGTTGGAGTCGGAATGGAAGGAGTCTGGAGGCTCTTTCTGAGGATGGAATTGTTATTGTTCTGGGACTGTTTCTAGACTTTGTCAAATAAAACAAATTCACATTTAGGTAAGAAGTTACTTAATTCTAAAGGAGTATTACAACAGAGGGAAAGCACCAAGTATGATATCTTCCAGGATCTCAAAGGGTAAGGCAGACAAGGACTTGCTTTCATTTGGAGGAACAAACCAGAGTACAAAGGTGAGAGTGAGAGGACAAGATACAGGGTGGCAAATCAGATCCTAAATCAGAGAAAGTTCGACTCCCAAATCAGCCTTAGGAGGGGCATAAATAGGAGCTGTATGTTAGCTCAAGCAGAGGGTGGTACAAATTCAGGGGCCTGGGAGGAGAGAATCTTAAGCAGTTTGGTTAATAAGTATTTTGTTCTAACAACTGAAGACAAAATTGTTCAGCTGACTGTTTATAGGGGGAAAAAATGGGAATTTGAGAGTCTGTGCCTGGCCTCGTGATAGGTATAAGAAGGAACTTCATCGAAGTTACAATGAGAGGGGTGTTGCTTTTTATTAAGCTATTCTTGGAGAACACAGAGCTGAAGGATTTCATTAATCACAGCTGTATTTACCCGCTCCATCTTCCCCCATGACTTTCCATTGCCATATTCAGCTCTTCCATTTGACTGTTCCTGAGTTGTGTCTTTTACAGTAAACTGGTAAACATAAGTACAGTGCTTTGCTGAGTTCTGCGAATAGCTCTATCAAATTATTGAACTTGAGGAGTGGGTGATGGGAGTTTCTGATATATAGGCAGTAGCCCAAAAGTATTGGTGGGCCCCCAGGGACGTGTGACTGGCCCCTGCCGTGGGGGCAGTGTTGTGGGACTGAGTCCTGAACCTGTGGGTCCTGTGCTCACTTTGGGTGGTGTCAGAATTGAGTTTTTGGACACCCTGTTGGTGTTGGAGAATTGGTTGGTGTTCAGCAAACTCCACACATTTGGTGTCAGAAAAAAAGACATCACAGCCTGTAATCCCAGCACTTTGGGAGGCGGAGGCGGGCAGATCACGAGGTCAGGAGATTGAGACCATCCTGGCTAACATGGTGAAACCCCATGTCTACTAAAAATACAAAAAATTAGCTGGGCGTGGTGGCGGACGCCTGTAGTCCCAGTTACTTGGGAGGCTGAAGCTGGAGAATGGGTGAACCTGGGAGGCGGAGCTTGCAGTGAGCCCAGATTGCGCCACTGCACTCCAGCCTGGGCAACAGAGTGACACTCCGTCTCAAAAAAAAAAAAAAAAAAAAAAAGACAAGACATCACAGCGGCCTGGGCTGGAGGCATCTCAGGGTGTCCCAGGATTGGGAAGCTCTGTTATGCTGCACGCACATTGCACATTCTCCTGGGATTCCAGCTTTCCTCTCAGGATCAGACAGGACTGAGGACTTAGAAGCAGAGTTCTGAAGACAGACCCCCCTCTTTACTCTGCTGCCACTACACGATTTTCACCCCCTTGCAAACATACCCACTAGGCACTGACATGGCCATATCCCTCCCAGAACAAGGCTTCACCCTCAGGAATCCCGTCACAGCACCTTTGCTTCTAGTTTCCCGTAGAAAACCCACACAGGTGCCTGGAAGACTCCTGGCCTATCCCCGCCCCCAGCAACCTGGTCTCCAGCCACCCAGGCTTTTGGATGATATGACCGTCATCTCATCTGCCTGCATGGACACAGGAGTGAGCCGGAGCATAGCCCCACTTGGGCCAGTACCTGTAGGCACAAACCACTTCTTCACTAACCCTGCGCTGAGTACTTAACATGGGTACTTGCTAGCACTTTTCTATTTTTTTTCTTTCCTACAAACCCTCTTTGATATGCAGTTTGTCCAAGGCTAACCCTCAAGTGCCTGAATCTAGACCTACTGGAGTTCAGATATCCATGAGTCCAAGACGATGGCCCTTGACTTAGCTGTGGAAGGTCACTGAAGGCCCAGTTACTTCTTCCTGGGGAACCTGGGCTGTGGCAGGTCATTGAAAGCCCAGTTACTTCTTCCCGGGGAACCTGGGCTGTGGCAGGTCATTGAAAGCCCAGTTAGTTCTTCCCGGGGAACCTGGGCTGTGGCAGGTCATTGAAAGCCCAGTTACTTCTTCCTGGGGAGCACCCCCTGCAGGTGTCTGTACACCCCAAACATGAAAGGAGCTCTTTATACTGAGAGCAGCTAGAAATAAGAGGCTTAATTCCCCCACCAGAAAATAGGAGAATAAATTTTGCTCTTCTCCCCTTTTTTAAAGCTTTTATTTACTTTATTTTATTTTTTGAGACATGGTTTCATTCTTTTCACTCAGGCTAGAGTGCAGTGGCACATTCATAGCTTACTGCAGCCTCAAACTTCTGGGCTCAAGTGATCCTCCTTCCTCAACAGCGAGAACTAAAGGGACACACCACACCACATCGTAAATTTTATTTTTTATTTTTTGTAGAGGTGAGATCTCACTTCTGTTGCCCTGGATGGTCTCGAACTCCTGGCTTTATGCTGTCCTCTTGCCTTGGCCTCCCAAGTGCTGGGATTACAGGCATGAGCCACTGTGCTGACACAGACGTCTTAAAGCCCCAGTTTCAGAGTGGCACCCTTTGAGTTTTCCAAGTCCAGTGACCTGTTACAGTTGTGTAAGTAGCTCTTGGTATAAAAAGAGCCTGGTGGCCAAGGTGGGCAGATCACCTGAGGTCGGGAGTTCAAGACCAGCCTGACCAACATGGAGAAACCCCATCTCTACTAAAAATACAAAATTAGCTAGGGTGGTAGTGCATGCCTGTAATCCCAGCTACTCGGGAGGCTGAGGCAAGAGAATCGCTTGAACCCGGGAGGCAGAGGTTGCGTTGAGCCGAGATTGCGCCATTGCACTCTAGCCTGGGCAACAGGAGTGAAACTCCATTTAAAAAAAAAAAGAGCCTAGTGACAGAATCTGTAAATGTAAACAAGAACCTCAGCAGGATGAGGTTAGGGCCACAAAATAGGCAGAGCCATGGTCACAGTCACACTCACCTGTAAAGTGTCATATGGAAGCACTGTTGTCCTTTCTCTTACTCAAGATTTAGCTAATTAGGGACAGGTGATATCTCCTCTGGATTAAGAATCTGCCACTCCACCATGGCAGTTTTGTGTGTTTTTTGTTTTGTTTTGTTTTGTTTTGAGATAGAGTCTCATTCTGTCACCCAGGCTGGAGTGCAGTGGGGTGATCTCAGCTCATTGCAACCTCTGCCCCCTGAGTTAAAGCAATTCTCCTGCCTCAGCCTCCCGAGTAGCTGGGATTACAGGTGCCTGCCACCACGCCCAGCTAATTTTTTTGTATTTTAATAGAGACAGAGTTTCACCATGTTGGCCAGGATGGTCTCGAACTCCTGATCTCAGGTGATCCGCCCACCTCAGCCTCCCAAAGTGCTGGGATTACAGTTGTGAGCCACCGTGCTGGCCTGTTTTCCATTTTTGCCCCACAGAATCAGCCGAAATCTCTCTTGCCTAGATGACCACGGGGACATGAGCCCAGGGTCACTGAGGACCCTGTCACAGGTGCCAGGGGGTCTTTAAACATTAGTGCAGACTAAGGTCAGGCTGACGAAAAGGTCTAAATCTGCTTCCAGTCTATGGCCGTACCACTCCGAACATGCCCAGTCTCATCTCATCTTGGAAGCTAAGCAAGGTCAGGCCTGGGAATACTGGATGCTGTAGGCTTTTTTCCTGTTTTCTTTTTCCATTAAAAATAAATAAATAAACAAAGCTGCTTCCATCTCAGAGGAAGAGAAATGAGTCATGCATGTTTCCTCTTCCCCCCCATCACAAAAGGAATCTCTTTGATTGATATCCAGATGGGACTGGCTCCAGTTTCTTGGTATTGGGGAAAAAACAAGGAGGAGATCTCGAGACTCAAACTGATAAACCAGTTGCTTCCATTTCATATGGCCGTTACAAAAACGTGACACAGTCATGGATCCTTACCAACCAGGCACTTTCAGTCTAGAGCCAGTGGGTAAACGGTGGAATTCAGCCTCCTGTGGTCAGTACAAGGAAGGGAGGTAGGGAGGTATACAGGGGATTGTGGCTTCACTGGGGCCACTTCTGTTTTCTTGTTCTTTTGTGAGTTCTGGTGTTGCCATCTGAAGGGCTATCCATGGACAAAAGAGTGGTTATTATCTTTGTTTCTATTGCATTTTGCTTGCCAAGAATAAATATTTAGTTTCTAATGTATTTGTCCTAGAAAGCTCGACGGGTGTTGGTTAAATTGGTCGTTACTGCATCTTATAAAATAGACGAGGAAGTGGCTAAAATTGGTTAAAATTACACAAACTCTGGGAGTCAACTGTCTGTTGGGCAGGCTTAGGAAAAACAGAACCGATAGTACCCAGATGCATAAAGATGAGAAGCTGAGGGCCTGCTTCTTGGCCCCACTCTGCCAGATCAACCTGCTTCCCAGGCCTTCTCCCACCCTGAAATCTCCCGCACAGAATTCATTAGAGGACATCAGAGTTTTGCATGGTGGTTCCTGTGCTCTCTCCAGAGGAGGTGCTCACAATTTTCCCAAATCCAAAAGCAGATAAATGAGAACAAAGAACTGTGTGATTGAGGACCTTTGTTTTTCGTTGAGACCAGTGCTGCTGGAGACATGCCACTCAGCAACCTGTTCATTCCTGCAGATCAAATTGTTTTTCATTCCTGCAGATCCAGTAGTTCCTACTTATAAGAAAGTAAATACAAACACGACAACGAAAAATCCTTGTCAACTACATTTAACCCCTTCTTTCTGTATCTCTCCCATCTGTCTGTATTTGGCTTTTATTCTATATATTTTCTTTCTAAAACTCAGTGATGGAGAAACAGATAAAGAACAGCTGGGCCCTTCATGTAACTCCTGGGGATTATGGAACATTGCATTAATGCCGTGTCCATGTTGTTCTCCCAGTGCAGGCTGGTCTTGAACTCCCGACCTTAGGTGATCCGCCTGCCTCGGCCTCCCAAAGTGCTGGCATTACAGGCGGAAGCCACTGCGCCCGGCCAAAGCATTTCTGTTGTGATACCAGTGTTGGGTACAAGGGAGTTTGTGCTGTGTTTACCTTCTCTCGCTGAGTGCTGCTGATAAGGAGTCCGGGGGAACAGTATCAGAAGACTTGTTATAGAAGCCAATTTGCAGACCCCTTTCACACCTGCGGAAACACATTACTTAGAATGGGGCCTGGAATACCAAATTAGAATACCAGATTATTTATATGTACATTGAAGCCTGAGAGACAGTATTCAGCTATGTGGTTCTCAGCCCAGGCTTCCAATTAGAATCAAGTAGCCAGTTTAGAGAACTACCATCACATGTGCCCTCTCCAAAGATCCTGTCTGTGGTCTGAATGGAAGCATAATTGTTGTTTTAAGTAAGTGCCCCCCAACGATCCTCAGGTGAGATGAGAGTCAAGCTTGAGGGCTCCCAGATACAGTCACGAGACTTGAGTTCCAAAAGGAGGTCAGAGGGCTCTACTTGGGTTGGATAGGGGTAGGTCACGAAGGTCCATATTTCCTTTGCTGTACCAGAAATTGCTAGAGTTCATGGCAGGGGAGATCACCTGAAGGCAGGAAATTTTTGGTCTTTATGTGGTAGCTCATTTTTCCTCTCTCCTGTGACAAAGAATAGGGGAGTATTCCCTTTTCTGCACTTCTACCTGTAGGTGTGCTGGTTGCAGTTGAAAGGGTTGTGCTAACACCTTTAAAGGCATATTCTCAAATGCAGGTGTGATTTGTCCAGATAATCTCACCTGAGAAGGAATCCCAGAGAAGAAGGAAGAAGAGGAAGAAATGGCTGGTTCTCAGGTGAATGTGTCTGGGTTCAGGGGATGTGTCTTCTTTTCTTCTGGGACGTTATGTGTTTAGAACTTGAAAACCTTTATTTCTGTACTTCTGATGTACCTGCCTAATGTGTTTCTTTCCAACTGCTTCCCCCCCTGGCTTTTTCTTATGATTGATAATCAAGGACCTCTGTAAAATCCTTCCTCCTGTGTACCAGAACCTTCTCTCCATTGTCTCCATCCAGGCTTCTTATATGTCATGACCAAATCTTACCATTAATGTATGATGGGCAGTATTGAAATGTTCTGTGACATATCAACATGGGAAAGTGTGGATCCCCAGGATTACCCCTGGGAATGGGTCTGGGTCTTGGGGTGTCAATGAAGAAGGGGACCATGTACTGTTTAGATTTCATCCACATGCTCCATCATCTCTATGCAGAACAGAATTAAGAAAAGAGACATTTAAAGAGGATGGCATTCATTGCCTGGAATAACTTAAAGTTCTGAAAAGAGAATAATTAGAAGACACTTGCTGTCTAGGATGCTAAAGAAACACTATTGAAAAACACTATTATAGATTGAAGAACCAGGGAAATATCTATAGCTTGAACTTTGCATAAAACTGATGTTTCTGATGCAACTGGAAACCATCATTCTCAGCAAACTATCGCAAGAACAGAAAGCCAAACACCGCATGTTCTCACTCATAGGTGGGAATTGAACAATGAGATCACTTGGACACAGGAAGGGGATCATCACACACCGGGTCCTATTGATGTTTCTGGCCAGACACTGTGGCTCATACCTGTAATCCCAGCACTTTGGGAGGCCAAGATGGGCAGATCACTTGAGGTCAGGAGTTCAAGACCAGCCTGGCTACCATGGTGAAACCCCATCTCTACTAAAAATACAAAAATTAACTGGGCGTGGTGACGTGCGCCTGTAGTCCCAGCTACTTGGGAGGCTGAGGTGGGAGAATCCCTCGAACCCAGGAGGCAGAGGTTGCAGCGAGCCGAGATTGCACCATTGCACTCCAGCCTGAGCGACAGAGCAAGACTGTCTCAAAAACACAAAACAAAAAACCAGATGTTTCTACATGATTAGATTCAGATTGTAATTTACTATTTTTGTGGCCAATAACATCAGAGCAGTGATGTTGTGTCCTTGATGTCATGTGATCCTTGTATGTGATCCTTGATGTCATTTTATCCTTGACATCCTTGATGTCAATTTATCCTATTATAGTTGATGTTAATTTTGTTTACTTGTTAAGGTGCTCTCTGTCAGATTTTTGGCACTATAGAGTTATTTTTCTCATTATTATTTAATACCTTGGGGAGATTTACTGACTGATATAAATAAGCCATCACATTTAATTGGGAAGCTCTTCTTTCTTTTTAGATTCTCATTGCTTATAGCTTGCTTTGGAAAATGAAGGCTCTCGTGTTTATTGGTTAGATAAACTGAAATAAACACAGGCTCTGCCACTTCCTGCATGTTCGAAAGAATATTTTCCTTGGCCCAGACACAGTGGCATCACTGTATAGCCCACTTAGAAATTCAGAAACTCAGGCTTCACCCTAGGTCTGGATCAGAACCTGCATTTTAAGAAGAAGATCTCTAGTTTATTGTGTACACATTAAAATTTGAGGGGTACCTTCTGATGAATCTACATATGAGAAATATTTACAACTTATCCTGTGTGATGTGAATATAGCAGGAAAAAAAATATATGTGCCTGTGTTGATACCCTTAATTTTATACTGTATTATTCACGAGAGTAGAATATCTACACTGGTTATGTGGAGCTTATGCCATCCTCTTTCTTCAGAATTAAGAGAATACGTTAGAGAATATTTCTGTGTTTACAATTATTTGATCATTTCAGTCTCTTGTGTAAGTAAGAACTAGTTCTCTCTGTCTCTCTTTGTGCCTGGAATCAAATTAAGAACTCTACCCATGGCCACTTGATAAGTATGTGTTTTCTCTTTTCCAGGGACTGTTGATATTCAGGGATGTGGCCATAGAATTCTCTCCGGAGGAGTGGAGCTATCTGGACCCGGCTCAGCAGAATCTGTATAGGGACGTGATGTTAGAAAACTACAGAAACCTGGTCTCTCTGGGTGAGGATCACTTCAATGCACAATTTCTATTTTACGCTAAAGATTTTATTTCCTTCGTTGTAGAATATTTTTGGGAATTTCTGCTTTGCATGAATGAGTTTCAGATTTCTGCTTTCAAGGAAAACTTGGGGATTTGTTGGTGTAGAAGAAAATAATCTTGAAGGTATTTTATCTTGACATTATCTTTCCTTTCTTGAGGTGATGTGCATACTCTAGTGGTGGTAATTCCAGAAATTTCGTGGCATAAAATAGTGTTGCTACACCCTAAAAAATCCAGTTACTACCACCAATTTTTGATTTAGTAGCAATAGGTAGTGAAGCTAGGGACTCACAAATTTAAAATACTTTCTAAATATTCTAAAGGTTCTGTGAGGAAATAGTATTTTGGGATTAATTTTCTAGAATCTGCTATTTCCTCATTTCTCTACTGAGCACAGTACTAGGTTGGTAATTAGAGAATCCAAGCAAGAGTCATGCTACTTTTTAAAAAATAAAACAGGTCCTTTTAAAAAAAAATTTTTTTAAATAAAACAGGTATTGCTGTCTCTAAGCCAGACCTGATCACCTGTCTAGAGCAAAGGAATGAGCCGTGGAATGTGAAGAAACATGAGACAATAGGCAGACACCCAGGTAGGTGGAGTAAATGAAGTAGATGATACAGATGAGAGGTTCAAAGATCAAGGAGGAAGCCAGACCTTAAAACGTGGTTTGGGAAGCTCTGCTCCAATGGAAATGGTTTCTGAGAAGCCTGCGTTTCTTTCCCTTGCTCTCACAAAGCAACGCCTCTGTCCCATGCTCTGAAATTCTTTTAGGGCTCTGCTTTCCCTTCAGTGATCTTTCTTCAAGATGACAGTGAGAGCCAAAGTCGTCTTCATAGCTTGGAACACACCATATGATCTGATTGTTCTTCCATTGCTTTGGGGACACAGGAATATCTGTATTTTTGAAAAGCTGTGTGTTAAACTATTTTTTAAGTTCCCTTTTTGCATTATGTCTAAGGTGTGTGAGAGGAGTGGGATTTGGCTCCGAATCCCAGGAACACTAGAACAGATGTTACGTGTTTTCTGCTGTGTGATTTCCCATTCTAGAGAGGTTTTAAATGTCAGTCTATAGAAATTTATACTCCATAATTTTATAAGAACACTAGACATCTCCCTAAATGTAAGAAACTGTTATTTTTTATTAAACATTTATTGTTTTAGTATAAACTGAGATTGGTAATTTAAACTCTGCCCAAAATTCTCAATTGTAGTATAGTTTAGTGTATCTATTCACTTCTGTATTAGTTGGTTTTCACACTGCTAACAAAGACATACCTGAAACTGGGAAGAAAAAGAGGTTTAGCTGGACTTACTATTTCCACATGGCTGGGGAGGCCTCAGAATCATGGCGGGAGGCTAAATGCATGGCAGCAGCAAGAGAAAATGAGGAAGAAGCAAAACTCCTGAGAAAGCCATCAGATCTCATGAGACTTACTATCATGAGAATAGCCCGGGAAAGACCAGCCCCCATGATTCAATTACCTCCCCCTGCATGTGGGAATTCTGGGAGATACAATTTAAGTCGAGATTTGGGTGGGAGCACAGCCAAACCATATCAACTTCCTAGATTTCTTAAATATGCTATGTATTTGGGTAGCTTAGAGCAGTGCTAAGCATATATTTAACTTCCACTTCCTACCTTAGTTTATAATAACTATAATTTTATAATTTTGTTTGCTATGATCGGAACTGTTATTCATATATATGTTGGTGTGTATACATTTGTGTATATATGTACATGTGTGTAATGTGGATTTTTTCACAAATAAAAATTGTGTAAGTGTTGTGTACAATGTGATGATTTGATGCAACTATCTTAGCAAATTTTAAGCATACAGAACACTATTATGAACTACAGTCACAATGCTATACACTAGATCCCCAAAATGTATTTATCTTATAATGGAAAGTTGTACTCTTTGAACAACAGCTCCCTATTTTCGCTGCCTCCAGCCTTGGCAATCATCTTTGTACTCTCTGCTTCTATGAGTTCAACCCTTTTTGATTCCCCTTATAAGAGAGATTATGCAGCATTTTTCTTTCTGTGCCTGGCTTATTTCACTTAGCATAATTTCCTCCATGTTCATCCATGTTGTTGAAATGGCAGGATTTTATTATTTGTAATGACTGAATAATATTCTGGAGTGTGTGTGTGTGTGTGTACTTTTATTTTTAGTGTCTGCAGACATTTGGGTTGTTTTCATATCTTGGCAATTGTGAAAAAATGTTGCAGTGAACATGAGGGTATAGTTTTTTTTTTTCTTTTGAGATAATTATTTTATTTCTTTTGGTTATTTACACAGAAGTGGGATGGATGAATTATATGGTAGTTTTACTTTTTCATTTTTTAATTAAGAACCTCCATACTGGTTTTGCTAATGACTCTATCAGTTTACAGCACAGCAACAATATATGGAATTTATTTTTCTTCACACCTTTGTCAGTACTTGTACTGGCTTATTTCAGTTAACATAATATTCTCAAGCTTTATCCTTATCATACAATATTTCCTTCTTTAAGGCTAAATAATCTCAATTTTATGTATATGCCACATTTATTTTTATTCATCAGTTGGGGGACATCAGGGTTGATTCTGCATTTTGGCTTTTGTGAATAATGCTGCAATATATCTTCTAGGTTCTGAGTTGCATACTTTGAATATATACTCAGAAATGGGATTGCTGGATTATATGATAATTCCATTTTTAGTGTTTTGAGGAATCTCTATACTGGTTTTTAATAGTGGCTGTGTCATATTTTTAATAGTGACTGTTGTCATATTTTTTCATCAACAGTTCACACAGGTTTCCATTTCGCCACGTCCTTGACAGATCAGTTTCTGTTAGTCTTTTTTTTTTTTTTTCCAGACAGAGTCTTACTCTGTCACCCAGGTAGGAATGCAGTGGCGCAATCTCAGCTCACTGCAACCTCTGCTTCCTGGGTTCAAGTGATTCTTGTGCCTCAGCCTCCTGAGTAGCTGGGATTACAGGCATGCACCACCATGCCCGGTTAATTTTTGTGTTTTTGGTAGAGATGGGGTTTCACCATGTTGGCCAGACTAGTCTCGAACTCCTGGCCTCATGTGATTCACCCGCCTCAGCCTCCCAAAATGCTGGGATTACAGGTATGAGCCACTGTGCCCGGCTCTGTTCGTTTTTAATAGTGACCATTTTGATGGATGTGAGGTGATACCTCATTGTGATTTTGCTTTGCAGTTCTCTACAAATTAGTAATTTTCAGCATTCTTTCAAGTGCCTGTTGTCCATTTGAGTATTATCTTTTAAAGAAAAGTCAGTTCAATCCTTTGTCCATTTTTAAATCAAATTATTATTTTTTGGGGGGCTGAGTTTTAGGAGAGATACATTCTGTACATTAACTCCTATCAAATATCTAATAGGTAAATATTTTCATCCATTTTTAAGGTGGCATTTTCACTCCACTAGTTGTTTCCTTTAATGTTCAGAAATTCTGAAGTTTGTGTAGTTCAGTTTTTTTTGTTCTTTGTTGCTTATGCATTTGACATCATATCCAAGAAAACAGTGCAAAGACCAATGTCATGATCTCCTCTATATTTTCTCCTGAGAGTTTTGTTATATTTTCACATTTAAGCGTTGAATCCTTTTAAAATATTGTTTGCATATAATGCAAAGGAAGGGTCCAACTTAATTTTTTTCATGTAGATACTCAGTTTTCAACATGATTTGTTGAAGAGTCTCCTTTCCCTATTGTATGGTCATAGCAACCTTGTGGAAGATCATTCAATTGTATACAAAGGGTTTATATCTAGGTTCTCTCTTCTATTTCATTATTTATCAATGTTTATCTTTTTATAGCTTTGTGTAATATGTTTAAACCAGGAAGTGTAAAGCCTCCTCTTCTTTTTATTTTATAGTTTTTGTTGTTGTTGTTGTTGTTGTTGTTGTTTTTGTTTTAATAATAGAGGCAGGGTTCAATCTGACTTCAAACTCCTGGCCTCAAGTGATCCTCTCATGTTTACCTCCCAAAGTGCTAGAATTACAAGCGTAAGTCACCATACCCATCCTTTTCTTTTTTTGAAATGGTGTTTAGCTAGTCATAGTTTCTAAGCAAATTTTAGGATTTGGAAAATATTTCTGCAAAAAAAGTACCATTGGGATTTTGATAGAGATTACGTTGAATTTGTATATCACTGTTGGTACTGATACCTTTTTTTTTTGAGACGGAGTCTCAGTCTGTCACCCACGCTGGAGTGGAGTAGCACGATCTCGACTCACTGCAAGCTCTGCCTCCCGGGTTTACGCCATTCTCCTGCCTCAGCCTCCTGAGTAGCTGGGACTACAGGTGCCCGCCACCACACCCAGCTAATTTTTTTGTGTTTTTAGTAGAGACAGGGTTTCATCGTTTTAGTCAGGATCGTCTCCATCTCCTGACCTGACCTCGTTATCCACCCGCCTCGGCCTCCCAGAGTGCTGGGATTACAGGTGTGAGCCACCATGCCCGGCCAGTACTGATATCTTAACAAAAAATCATCTGACCCTTGAGCAAGAATATGTTCAACAGTGTGTTTAATTTCTACATATTTTGGATTTGGTTAGGAAAAAATACATTGTTTGATTTCAGTCTTAAATTTGGTAAGTTGTTATGTGTCCTAACAGAATGAATACACAATTGATAATATTGTGTATTCTGCCTTTTTTCCTGGAGAATTCTGTACATGTCTGTTAGGTCTAATTAGTCTATAATCCTTAAATTTTCTGTTTTCTTATTGATATTCTATGTGATTTTTCTATTCATTATTGAAAGTGGAATCTTGAAGTCTACAATTGTGTTGCTGTGTATTTCTTACGTCATTTCCGTCAATATTCACTTCGTATATGTGGCAGCAAATATTGCTCCATATATACACATACACACACACACACATATATATATACACATATATATATGTATGTATGTGTGTGTGTGGAGTGTGTGTATATAAAACTGTTAGATTTTTGGTAAATGGGCCTATTTTACCATTATATCAATCTTTGTCTTGTGTGACAGTTTTTAATTTAAAATGTATCTTGTATAATTGTGGCCACACCACCCAATTGTAGTTACTATTTTCATGGAATATATTTTTTTCATTCTTCCAGCCAATTTGACTCCTTTAGAGCTACAGTTGAGTCTGTTGTATACAGCATATTTTAGAATCTTGTTTGTTCTTAATCCATTCAGCCATTTTCTTTTCATTAAGGAATTTAATCCATTTATATTTAAAATAATTCCTAAAGGAAATGACAGTACTATTACAATCTTGTTTGTAATTGTTTTCTGTTCCTTGTAGATACATTGTCCCTCATTTCCTCTCTCACCTCTCTCACTGCCTTCCTTTTTGTTTTGTTGACTGTGTAGTGACATGCTTTGATTCTTTTCTCATTTTCTTTTGCATTACTTCTATAAGTACTTTCTTTGTGATCACCTTGAGAAATGGACAGTTCATAAAACTTCTTAAAGTTCTGATAATCTATCTCATAACTTCCCTACAATTGAGTATGAGAATTATTTATCTTTATATCCCCCATTTGATATTAATGTCAAAAATTATATCATTTTATATTGTGCATTTATTAATAGATTTATGGAGATTTATGTTGTTTTTCACATTGTACAAAATTTTTGGTTTTATGTAACATTCGTCAATTCTATATCTGTGTATATATTTACCTTTAACAGCTTTATATTTTCATATGAATTTATGATGTTGTCCAGCATCATTTTATTGTTCAACATAATGGACTGCTTTTATCATTTCTTGTAGGACCGTACTAGTAGCAGCAAACATTCTCAGCTTTTGTTTATCTTGGAAGCCTATTTTTCACTTATTTTTGAAAGTAAATTTCTTTTAGATCAAGTATCCTTAGTAATATTTTTGGTTTTATCTCATTGAAATTTTAGAAGTTCTCAGCACCACCCCCTTTTTTAAAAAAATAACTTACCACTTTTCACCTATATCTTCTTGGTATCTTTTTATTGGTCTACTGAATAGTTTCCATTAAGTCCAATATTTCATCTTCATTTTTTTCCATTTTTAAATGTTACATTGTTACATACAACTCAATATTTATAAATGATATGTCTTCAATTTGCTGATGTTTTTTCTGCCTCATTTAGTCTCTTTTAGCTCTTTTTTTTTTTTTTTTTTTTTTTTTTTTTGACAGATCGTCTGTGGCTGAGTTCTCTCGGCCCTCATTAAGATTTCCTGCCTGTCTTAGCTCTACAGGCCCCGCTAATTTTTGTATTTTTTGAACGGTTTCATGTTTGCTCTTTGTATCTTTGTTCAGCGTAGCCAGGGCTGTATTTTCCAGCTCAACAATTTTAGTTAGGTTTTTGTTTTTGTTTTTGTTTTTTTGAGACAAAGGCTTGCTCTGTTGCCCAGGCTGGAGTGCAATGGAGTGATCTCTGCTCACTGCAACCTCTGCATCCCAGGTTCAAGCAATTCTCCTGCTTCAGCCTCCCGAGTAGCTGAGATTACAGGCGCCTGCCATTATGTCCGGCTAATTTTTTTGTATTTTTAGTAGAGATGGGGTTTCACCATGTTGGCCAGACTGGTCTTGAACTCCTGACCTTGTGATTCACCTGCCTCAGCCTCCCAACATGCTGGGATTACAGGCGTGAGCCACCACACCCAGCTTAGTTGGGTTCTTTTTTATAGTTTTTTTTTTTTTAATCTCTTTGTTGATGTATTATTTTCCTCATGCATGGTTTTTCTGTTTTGTTTTGTTTTTTTTAAACAGGGTTTCACTCTGTCATCCAGGCTGGTGGTATGCAGCAGTATTATCATAGCTCACTGTAGCTTCAAACTCCTGAGCTCAAGTGATCCTTCCACCTCAGCCTTCTAAGTAGCTGGGACTATAGGCGTATACCACCATGCCTGGCTAATTAAAAAAAAAAAATTGTAGAGACAGCCTCACTGTGTTACTCAAGCTGGTCTTGAACTCTTGGTATCAAGCAGTTCTCCCACCTCAGCCTTCCAAAAGCTGGAATTCCAGGTGTGAGCCTCTGTACATAGCCAGGATTTATTTTTAAATGAATAAGCAGAGTATTTTACTTTATGTAAACCATATTGCTCTTGTCACCATGCCCAGCCTGATTTTGTATAGTTATCTATATGTGTTCTACTTTTGGTCATTGAACATGTTTAAGATGATTACTGTAAATTCTTTGTCAAAAACATGAAAAAATCTCCCTTTTTTAAGGGTCAGTTTCTAGAGATTTGTTTCTTCAAGTAGGGCAGATTTCCTATTTTCTCTGTGTGCCCTGTGATCCCATACACAAAAATTTCTGTAGTACTAGAATGATGATATATGAAACAACTATGCTCTGTTAGTCTCACAGAAGCATGCTTATAGATGACACATTGCTTTTCCCTTTCTGTATTTGAGATTCTCTTCTCATCTGTAATCTTTTGAAACTGCTTATAATGTATCTTGTTATGGGTCTGTCTGTGTTTATCGTATTTGAAATGTGTTGAGCTTCTTAATTTATTTTTTTACATTTGAGAATTTGTCAGGGTTTTTTCTTTTATTCTTCAACCTAACAATTTCTATTTCTTTTTATACTTTTCTCATTTTCTTAATTTCATGTGTTTTCCCATTTTACTCATTGGCCATTATTCAGATGGTTATCTCAAAATTTTCAGGTAACTTATATATCTCCATTTCTTTAGGGTTGATTTCTGGATATTTATTTATTTATTTATTTTTTGATTGAGCCATGTTATCCTAATGTATATGTAGCAATCTTTGGTTGAGATTTGGGCACTAAAATCCACCTGTCAAAATCTTTATAAAATGGCCTTGTCCTGGGTAGTCCGACACCAAGTGACTCAGGTTAGGGTTTCCATGAGCCTCTCAAACCTATTCTCAGGATGTATGTTCTCTGGAATTTTGTGTTTAATTTCCAGTTAAAGAGGTTTACCCTTGTTTCTTCTTTCTTTCTTTCTTCTTCTCTAATCAATTATTTGCTAAATCTGTTGTCTGTCTGTGGTACTGCAGCTTCTCTGCTGCTATAACAATTATTTACCTTTGGTCTCAGCAGAACCAACCTATAATTCAAAGGTTGGTTCTATTCTACCACTCTTCCTATCAGCACTTTGGGTCATGGGAGACAGAAACTAGTCTTTGGAAATTCCATCAAAAGTATGGGCATATGTGCCACTACTGTTTCTACTGAAGGAGAAGCTAGGAGTTGGGAGTTTATTCCTGAAGTCATTATGCTGTATTGAGGGGAAGAAAGAGTTGTGGTGGGTAAATGTAACAAGCTTTCCTTCTTGTCTGTGGCTTTTAATATGGTTTCTAGAGTTCTCACAAAGACATTTTGTTCAGTATATTTTTGTTAGATTATGTTCATGAAAAAATCAGGGCCTGTAGTATTTTATTATGTTATCTCGCTAATGTGTTTAGTATAATTTCATACATTATCTTTTTAGATTATATTCACCGAAGTCCAGTAAGTTGGATAATATGTTATTTTAATTTTTTTCAGCTGTTTCTTCTCATTTCACCCAAGACCTCTTGCCAGAGCATGGTATAAAAGATTCATTTCAAAAAGTGATACTGGGAAGATATGGAAGCTGTGGCACTGAGAATTTAGACTTAAAGAAAGATTGGGAAAGGGTGGGTGAATCTAAGGTGCAGAAAGAATGTTATAATGGACTTAACCAATCTTTATCAACTACCCATACCAAAATCTTTCAATTTAATAAATGCATGAACGTCTTTAGTAAACCGTCAAATCTAAATAGACAGAAGATAAGACATACTGGAGAGAGATCTTCCAACTGTAAAGAATGTGACAGTTCCTTTTACATATCCTCAATTCTAACTCCACTTCAGAGAATCCACACTGCAGAGAAATCCTACAAGTGTAGACAATGTGGGGAAGCCTTCAAGCACTGCTCATGCTTTATTGAACATAAGACAGTTCATAATGAAGAGAAACATTTCAAATGTAAAGAATGTGGCAAAGTCTTTAAATCCTTCACAAACCTTTCTAATCACATTATAATTCATACTGGAGAGAAACTCTATAAATGTGAAGAATGTGGCAAAGCTTTTAACCACAGTTCAAACCATGCCAAACATAAGAAAATTCACACTGGAGAGAAACCCCATAAATGTGAAGAATGTGGCAAAGCCTTTAACTGGTTCTCATACCTAACTCTACATAAAAGAATTCATACTGGAGAGAAACCCTACAAATGTGATGAATGTGGCAAAGCCTTTAACCAGTGTTCAAACCTCACTAAACATAAGAGAATTCATACTGGAGAGAAACCCTACAAATGTGAAGAATGTGGCAAAGCTTTTAACCGGTGCTCACACCTTACTGAACATAAAAGAATTCATACTGGAGAGAAGCCCTATAAATGTGAAGAATGTGGTAAAGTCTTTATATCTTGTTCAAGCCTTTCAAACCATAAGAGAATTCATGCAAGAGAGAAATGCAACAAATCTGAAGAATGTGGCAAAACCTTTAACCACTGCTCAGACCTTAATGAACATGAGAAAATTCATACCTGAGAAAAATCCTACAAATGTAAAAAATGTGGCAAAGCCTTTAATACCTGTTCATGTCTTACTCAGGATCAGAGTTCATGTTGAACTAAAGAATTATAAATATAATGACTGTCAAAACACCTTTCACAGAAAAAAATAATTTTACCACAGATTAATTTGTTCATTAATGAAACTTTAATTCTCCGTCTTTTTTTTTTTTTTGGTCTACATAAATCTATCCTTATGCCAGTACTATATTGTTTAATTACTGTAACATTGTAGTAAGAGTTTATATCAGGAGTGTAAGTTACTGAATTTTGTTATCGTTTTTCAGAATTCTTGTGTGTTTAATTTTCTTTACATGTTTATATGGATTTTAGGAAGAGCTTGTCAATTTCTATTAAAGAAAAGCTACATTGGAATTTGCATTGAATCTGTAGATAAATTTGTTGGGTATTTTGATCTTCAAATTCAGTATTGTTATCTTTGAATATTGAGTATATCTCAGTTTATTCAGCTCTTTGATTTCTTTCAGCATTTTAAATAATTTTCAGTGTATAGTATGTGCAGTTATTTTGTTAAGTTTGTTTCTAATTTTTTTTTCTAGGATACTATTAATGAAATTTTAATTTAATTCTTATTTTGTTTATTGCTATGATATAAAAGTACTATCTAACCTTGCATGTTGATCTTGTGGCATTGATGAACTTTATTAGCTCAAGTAGGTTTTTATTTATTTATTTATCTATTTATTTAATTTCTTTGTTTTTGTTTTTGAGATGGAGTCTCGCTCTGTCACCCAGGCTGGAGTGCAGTGGCCGGATTTCGGCTCACTGCAAGCTCTGCCTTCCGGGTTCACGCCATTCTCCTGCCTCAGCCTCCCGAGTAGCTGGGACTACAGGTGCCTGCCACCACGCCTGGCTAATTTTTTGTATTTTTAGTAGAGACGGCGTTTCACCATATTAGCCAGGATGGTCTCCATCTCCTGACCTTTTGATCTGCCCGCCTCGGCCTCCCAAAGTACTGGGATTACAGGCGTGAGCCACTGTGCCCAGCCTCAAGTAGGTTTTTAATGATTTTCTTATACTTTTAAAATACAACATTATGGCAATAAAAGACTATTCCACTTCTTTTCTAATCTGGAGAATTGTATTGATTTTTCTAGTATAATTTTCTGGCTCATATCTCCAGTACAATGGTGAATAGTGGTGAAAGTAGAAATTCTTGTCCTGTTTTCAAACTTGCATATAAGGCCCCCAGTCATTCACCATTAAGTATATTAGCTTTTGGTGTGGGGTTTTCCATCTTGGCTCACTGCAGCCTCAACCTCTTAAGCTCAAGTGATATTCCCACCTTAACTGCCTGAGTAGTTGGGACAACAGGCATGCACCACCATGTCCAGATAATTTTTTTTTTTAATATTTTGTAAAGATGGGGTCTCCCTATATTGTCCAGAATGGTTCTTGAACTCCTGAGTTTATGCAGTCTTTCCACCTCAGCTTCCCAAAATTCTGGGTTACAGGTGTGAGCCACTGCACCTGGCCGATTTTGGGTTTTCATAGAGGCCTTTTAGCAGGTCTCAAAAGTTTTCTTCTAATAGTTTTCTTGATGTTCTGTCATTCACAGGTGTTGAATTTATCAAGCTTTTTCTATTTAAATTATTACATTTTTACTTTGTTCAAGTAATATTGTATCATATTAAACCAACATTGCATTGTGAAAATACCCTGCTTAGTCATGGTATGTAATCACTCTTATACCTTTTTATATTCATTTTTTAAATATTTCTTGGAATTTCTGTGTCTATATTTAAAGAGGATGTTGTTTCATAGTCATCTTGTGATTCTTTTGTCTCATTTGAGTATTATGGTATTACTGGCTAATAGATGAATTAAGAAGTGTTACCTCTTCTACTGCTTGAAGTTTTTGTGAGAAATTGATGTTTTTCATTAAATGTTTATGAAATGTACAACTTAAGCAGTTTATAACAGCTAGTCTATCTAAAAAGATTTTAATTAATTTTTTGTTATATGGATATAAGTATATTCTTTTGTGTGTGTGTGTATATATATATATATGTATAATGAAACAATTCATATGATGTTTTTTCAGTTTCCTTTGTAATCCATCCCTATCAATATTTTTTTATTTCATAGTATGTCATGAACAATTACTCTAGGCACTTGACATGGAATAATTTGAAAAAATAGAGAATGAGTCCTGTACTACAATCAACAAATAACTCAAAATTTTCTCCATTTTTAGGATGAAGAATATGAATATAGTTCTGTTACATAATATTTGTGTTTACTGTGTGAGACAAATGAGTTACTGAATGTAAAAATAATTAGTGAAACTGCCCTTTGATTTTGGAATGTATGAAACAGGCAAATGCCCTACCTTCTATTTTTATCAATATTTAGATAAGACAGAAAAATAAATTTTAATAAGATATACAGAATAATCTTGTATTTGAAGAATGCTATGAAAAAGATAATTTGGAGTAGTAGTTAGCGTATGGCTCATATAATGTGTTAGGTACTATTCTAAGCCATTAAACATTTGTATGCTTAATACCTAAGAGTTTAAAGTGAAGAAATCAAAGATTCATTGAAAAAGAAAAATTGAATTTAAAAAAAATTGTATTTTTAATTGAAAAATAGTAGTATATATCTATCTACAGTGTAATATTTTGATATATGTTTATGTTATAAAATGATTAAATCAAGTTAATGTTTATAGCTTCATATAATTTTTGTGGTGAAAACATCGAAAATAGTCTTTATAGCAGTTTTGAAATACACATTATTTATTACAGTCACCATTCTGTGCAATTGATCACTAAATCTTATTTCTCCTAATTGAAATTTGGTACATGTTGAAGAACATTTCCCCTCTTTTTATTCACTCCATCTCCTAGCCTCTGTCACATTTTCATTCATATTAGGTAACATTAAGGTCATTATAGAAATTAACTTTTTGGTGTCCCACAACTAAATGAACATAAATAATGTTTACTTTGTTAGTAAGTTATACTAATTAGGCATAGGAAGAAATGGCAGCTGTTTTTGCCAGTAAACAAAGGATGCCCATTATTTTAAAATATTAGATATGAGTATTTTAGGTGGTAAAGTTTTAGGCCTAAAATATGTCATTGAATTTATTATCCCAGAAACCCAGCAGGTCATATTTTCTGAACATTGTAAATAACAATAGAAATTATTGACTAAAATGTTACCAGCAAGTACTATCTCACCACATGAAAACTGCATTGAAATTTTTAAATTTGTAGTTCAAATGGAAGACTCAAACAGATTCTTTTCATGGATTCAGGGAAGTGCTCATGAGGAAGCATGGTGATTGAAGCCAAAAATCTGAATTCAGGTAAATAATTCTGCCAATATGATCTCAATGGTGTAGAAAATCAGTAGTTTTGGCCATATATAGGTACTGTTCTCTGACATAGAGTACATTTATTTCAGAAATTTGTGCTAAATGTAAAATCAGTTCCCTAGTATTAAAGTTAAACTCTACAAATTATTATTACTTTACAGTATGTTGAGGAAAGGATATGTTCTATATAAAGTAACTTGAGATTTATTGTCTATTACAAAAAAAATTGTGTGAAATATATTTCACGTGTACACTGTTGACATTTGTGCTTGTTGGAAAAATACTATAGATTCTACACATTTTAAATGTAGAAAGCTGAAATCCTCAGAAAGTTACAAGAATCTTTAAACGACTGTATAGCATTGAAAGTGAAAGTAAAATATGAGAATTTTCCAACTAGAGAAGCAAACGAAAGAAATCATTTAGGAAAATAATCGACTGAGAAGTAAGCGCTCCTGTTAGATATGGGTGGTCAGAGTTGCCAAATCCATGTGGGTTGCCCAACTTGCCATAAAGCAAATTTAAAAAACAGACATAAACTGCAGATGTCTGAAATGTAATATCTCCCATAAGTGAAAAGAAAGTTAAAACTTATGTTACACACAGTTATAGGACTTATTTTTTAAATGTTTAAGTCAACACAATGAGAAAAATAGGAAAAATATATATATATTACAGAGCAAAAGACTACAAGCTTGACAAGCCATATTTGAGAAAGAGCCAAATACAAACAACCTACTTAATACACAACGTATGGGTTAAATATTAAATTAGTCTCAGCTGATGAGATTAGTGAACCAAAATACTGAGCATGATTAATGTAGTTAAATACAGTGAAAAGGGAAAACAGCCCCCGACCTCAGCAGAAGGTCTAAGGCCTGGCCCCTGCCCCCCATCCCTGCCCGGAGCCCTAACCTCTGAGGCAGTCTCCAAGCCTTTGGGAGTAGCTTCTGAAGATGAGTTGGTGGTTGAGTTCCTGCAGGACCACAATGTAGCCCTTGTATCCCATGCCCCTCAGACATTCAAGATGGATGAACTGGCTGAGATGCAGCAGATTGAACAGTCAAACTTCCTCCAAGCCTCCCCAGAGAGCCCCTGGTGTGGCCGACTTGGCCTTGTCTGAGAACTGGGCCCAGAGTGTCTTGCAGCTGGAGATGCTGTGGATGTAATTAGGATTGTAATGAGACAGATTGGTCCCAATCATTCATTTCTGAAGTTACAGACCCCTTGGCTGTTTCCCCCACCTGTTGGACTGAGGCATATTTGGAGCAATCAGGGGAGAAGCTGTGGTTGGGAGAGCCTAAGGGAGCAGCAGCTGCTGATTGTTGGACCATGAATGAGAAGGATCGGCAGCACATGGCCAATGACTTTGTGGCCAAAGGGGATGACCCCAAATTGGCTAATTCTGAGTACATCAGATGCCTGGGTTGACCATTCACAAGACCAGTAAACACAACTGCCCTTGATAGGGAGTTTGAACGTGCCAAGTCAGCTATAGAGTTGCAGGCGGAGTTGGAGGAGATGGCAAAACGAGATGCTGACGCTCACCCCTGGCTTTCTGACTATGATGACCTCACATCAGCTTCCTTTGATAAGGGGTACCAGTTGGAGGAGGAGAACCCCCCGCGTGATCACCCTCAGCCTTTCAAAGAAGGGCTGCAGCAACTTCAGGAGTGGGCCCTGTTGTGGGAAGTCAGGGACCCTAAACGGAGGGACCGGCTGAAGCCACGGCAGAAGAACATAAATTGTGAAGATTTCATGAGCATTTATTAGTTTCCCAAATTAATACTTTTATAATTTCTTATGCCTGTCTTTACTGTAATCTCTGAACATAAGTTGTGAAGATTTCATGGATATTTATCACTTCCCCAATCAATATTCTTGTGATTTCCTATGCCTGTCTTCACTTCAGTCTCTTAATCCCGTCATCTTCATAAGCTGAGGATGTATGTCGCCTCAGGACCCTGTGATGATTGCATTAACTGCACAAATTGTTTAAACAATATGAAATCTGGGCACCTTGAAAAAAGAACAG